TTTATTTTAATTACTTAATATCTCAAACGATAGTAAAATTTTTCTTAAAAATGACATGTTAATACTTTTCAGTAATCAGAGACTCAAAAACAAAGTTATAAATATGTAATACGTTACTAGCGCTAAAGCAAAATAAAACTCATAAAAATAATACGATGAAATAGAGGAAAGGAAGATAAATGTGTAGCATTCTTCCAGAATTTCCTAAATGTTTCACTTTTGTTTGGTTTAAACACCCAAGTTATTATCATTTGCACAGAGTTAATATTATTAGTTTGTACTTGTCATTCATTACCATTACAACAAATTTACTGAATATCCCTTCCAATGGATTCCTTAACTCTCTCTTTTATACAACGTAATAATAATTAATTATTAATAGAGAAGAATTTTAAACTCATACATTTAAGTTGTTTTTATTACTTAATATCTCAAAGAATAAGAATAATTTGTCTTAAGTAGGGCATATTAACCCTATTAGCAAAGAAAAAACAATAAAAATAATTGCGTTACTAGTGCGAAAGCGAGATAAAACTTGTAAAAACAATAAGATGGAATAGAGAAAAGAAAAATAAATGTTCTTGTATAAATGTGTTGCAGTTTCGAAGATTTCTTGCATTTCTTAAAGTTTCAATTACGTTTAGTTAAGACACCTAAATGTCTGAGGTAATCATTTACACAGAGTTAATGTTCTCAGTTTTCTCTGTGAAAAAAAGAATTAAATTAATTTGTAAAAGAATAATAAAGATTATTATTAAGTTTATTAAATTATCTTTTTAAGTAAGAAGAAATTAAATTAGATTGAGTTAAATATTTTTATATAATATCTGAGATTTTTTATTAAGGAAATAATATATGTATTTTTCGCTTTTTTAAACTTTACGATCCTCACATTATGAGTTTCAAGTACTTCATAATTTTGTTATTTTTTTTTTTTTTTTTTGGTTGGATATCGACATGAATTTTTAGATATATTTCCATTTGTGTACTATTTTAAAGAAAACTTTTACACAATCTAGTACTAATTTTTTATGCTTCCGTAAAAGGTACTTATGCATATAGTGAACCTAAACTATTTTTTTCTAAGCAAAACATCAGTTTTAAGAAATAACTCTTGATATAAAAAGAGGAAAAAAAAATTAAAATTTTCAAAATTTCAGAGTTCTATAATTTTTTCAAACTAAGTATATAGTGATATCCTTAAAAACGTTTGCTCACTATTTTTTTTTTCTGAATTGTTCATGTATGAGGAGCAAAATATTTTGTATATTTATGGAATATTATGTTTAAAATTCGTACCTAAATGTAAATATATCTTGAAAAATCATGTTCACATTCAACTCGATAGGGGAAAACACTTTTTACGAAAATACTTTTACAATTCAATAAAACGAGTAGCATATTATTAGACACAAAAAAAGTCCTTTAACAGTACGAATAATTTTTAAAACATAAGTGCCATAAAAAGAAAGAATTTTAAATCCGGTATTTTATTTTCACCCACGTAACCTGGTACCCCTTAAATTTTTACAACGTTTTTGTGAATTTCACTTGGTGTGTGTGTGTGTGTCATCAAATTTTCGATCGTTAATTTAACCAACTTCCCATCAAGCTAGAGCTTTGAAATTTTGGGAATCGTTCGTACTCGCCTAACAATGCTAAATTTAGACGTTTGCGACAAGTTTTAACTCATATTTTTTTAAAAAATGCAGTTCAGCCCAATCACTTGGCGCAATTTGAATAATTGCTAAACTTGTCGAATTTTTTTATTTTTTTTTTATTTTTGGCTGAATGTTAAGTCCGCTTCACGGACCAATTTAGCAACATTTGGTAAAATACCGCCAAATAATTCCTGTCTCCAAGAGTGGTTTGACTAAACTGTATTCCAACCATTTAATTTACCGGATTAAATAATTTTAGTTAGTTTTAACGTTGTTATGTATTTCACTTGGTGTGTATCTGTATGTATGTGTATCAGTGTGTCATCAAATTGTCTATTGTTAATTTAATCAACTTCCCATCAAGCTAGAGCTCTGAAATTTTGGGAACCGTTCTTATTTGCCTAACAATGCAATATTTAGATATTTACGACCAGTTTTAACTAATATTTTAATAATTTTTTTAATAAACTTTACCACCATATAAAAACGTTGTTTTTAAAAACGTTAGTTTTTATTTCGAATTTTATTACTGCATATCATTATATAGCTTGAAGGAATGTGTAGAAAAACTACACAACATTAAACGCTTTCCTCATTGCTAGACATACGAGTACATTCTATGTATCATAACTGGATGTGAGCTATTTTTCGTGTTGCACTAAAGATACACTCATTGCCACAACAATTTGCTCACCAAGAAAGAGGTGTCAGAAGAAAACGAAATTTTATATACATAAATACAACGATAGTGTTAGTAAATGCTTACAAAATCAACTCAAAATGATCATTTATTACAGGAAAAACTACAAATAAATGGAGGTTTTACTACGTTGTCGAACCATCTTTAGCATGAATGCATAATAATGTGATACGGTGGAGTATTGTGGCATACAAGTCCCGTATGAAGTCCAGCGACATCTCGTTCCAAAGTTGCTGTAATCACGCCTTTAATTCGAACAAACAAGTAGGCTGTCAAACTTGCCGTCCTACATGATCCAAATATGTTCTATCGGTGACAAATCTGAGAATCTAGCAGGCCAGGAAGGGGTGGAAATGTATCGGTGGTAGTCCTGTGAAACCTTTGTTATGTGTGTGCGAGCATTGTCCTGTTGAAAAATGGCTCCTTAGAGCCATGTCGTGAGGGGCGACGCAGATGGCTGATGACCGTCACGAACGTAACTCTGGGGTATCATGGTGCCGTGGATGAATATTAAGGGTGAATGTTTGTCATATGCAATGATACCCCATACGATTACTGAAACTGAGGGAGCGATGCGTCAATATACAGCGAAGGCAGACGTTCACCAAGGAGTCTTCACACACGTATATGACATTCAACACTGCAGAAATTGAACCTGGATTCGTCGCTAAAGTTGACCTGATTCCATTTTGGTTGCAGTTCAATCCCTTCGAGCGCAGCATCACTCCAAATGGAGACGATGGTGTGTGGGTGTCGATGGCAGTTCACATTATAGGCGCCGCTATAACAACTGTGATTAAGCCATGGCCTCGTGATGGTACGGACTGACATAAAGGCTCGTAATGAAAGTGCTGACTATGTATGGATAATGGACAATGAGAATGTTAGTTCTATGCTTGTGTGTCGTATGATGTATTGTTCTTCTCGACAATTGGTCCATTGAGGTATTCCTGAGCCTGGTCGTCATGAAACAGATTTATCTCTCGTTCACTGGTCCAAACATCTTCTCACGGTAAAATCAGAACGGTCTAGCTTACTACCCAGTTTCCATCATCCCTATGATTCTTCCCCTCTCGAAATCTGTCAGCTGCTCATATTGTCTACGATGGGAGTGTAATGGCTTTTCTAGTCAAAAGGATCCCTCTGCAACAGATTAAATACAGACAAAATAGTTTTGTTTACCTATTTTCGAATCCAAGTAGTATGAAGTTCAACGCCTTCTAGTGGCATTATGGAATGCGCAATTACACTGCATTATGAATGATTTACATATCTGCCTAGCACGTAACTTTATGCCAAGTTTCGTAACAATCCCACTCTTACTTGTTGGTGCGCAATTTCTTATGCCTATGAGTGTACTTTAAATCAGTCAATCAAATGTTTTGAAATAATCGAAATGATTTAGATTTTAAAAGAACTTAAAAGTTATTTTCTCAATGTCTCTCAATCAATCCAACAAAATAATGTGATATATTTAACCACAACACTTCTTAGAAACTTTTTTTAAATTTCTTGAAAAAAATGCTTCGAATTGAATACAGTGATTTACATATAGTCGTCCGAGTTTGCCAGGCCAGGGTTATATTAGCAGCCGGATATTTCGTCCGCTATGCATTTGTTTTATCAGACACGATCACCGAGTAGTTATGATCCCCATATCGCGGTTGCAGCTGTTTCCGTCGATTCTTATGCTCGTGTTTTCATTCCACTAAATACCCATCCTGTAGCGGGTCTAGTGAACTTTCGACCTATGAGGTCCTCCCGAAGGTGTAGTGTGGATGCTTAGAGAATTAGAGCGAACTCAGGTGTCATCATAGTCACTTCAAAGAGATTCAAATTTACTGGGTCGTCTCCATTTGGCATGTTCTTCTGAGAGAAATATTAATTGAAATTCCTTGTAGAAAATCGCTTAGGTTTACTGTGATGTGTAATCCCGAAGAATTTAAGTTAGTTAATGAAAAAACAAACATTTAAAGAAGTAATATCTCTTTCTTTGTCCGAAAAATGAACTTCAGGTAATAAAGGCATTAATTTATAAAATTCATGATACCGAATTTTTAAGCAAATTAATTTGTTTATTTGCTTACTACATTCAGCTTACACAAATAAGTTTTTATCAAAAATTATTTTGAAACTAGAGATTATATATAAATTAATGTTCTTATTGTGACAAGAATTATACTGAATACTTTCATTTATTTAATTCTGAAAAAGCCTACAGTGTAGCGGGTCTGATGCAGCTGAAATTTGGTCATGGTCTGGAGTCCTTCCAAAGTTATGATGTGCAAGTGTAGAGACGGAGGTGCCAGATCAAGAGTCGTCCTCGTCTCTTGATCGAGGTTCAAAATTACGAGACCCGTCTACAATAAAACTTCTGTTGCTTTTCACTTAGTAGTTAATAAACAATCATATCATATCACATTTAACTGTAAGTGTTTGTTACATAATTTTTTAATCCACTCTCCACTTTGTTATCTTGTATTTTCGATTTATATCGAATCTCAATAATAGCTATAAAACTATTGAATAAAAAATATTAGGCTTGAATACCTTATCTTAGTTAATATTTTTGATATCAATACATTACTCTCGCCTTTGATTTTTTTGGAACCTGAATTGTTATCAGGTTGTAATGCTTGTTCCCAGTGGCACAATTGGTAATCGCGCAGTATTTATAGTGCAGTGCTTGCGAGCATTGCCGAGGCTGTGAGTTCGAGCCTCACCTGGGGAAGTTGTTATTTTTATCTCTAAAAAAGTATGAAATTTCGTTTCAAGTGTAGTATAGAAATCAAATGAGAAGGAGCAAATGTTATTCAATTAGATTACTTTAAATCGTAAAATTATTTTTAACGTTATTCAATTCCATATATTGTTCAACTCCAAACAACAATCTGTGGCCGAATCCTTTGATTTTAATATAATCAAGAGAAAAAGAAACTTTCCCAGCGTTCTGTGTTACGTAGTGTTAGTGAAACCAAAAAGATGATTCTTTTTTATAGATTATACGTATTCCAATTAATATTAATTTTCTCCAAAAGCTGCTCTAAGATTCTTTCATTTTGTGTAAAATAGTAAAAACTATTTATTCTGCTGTTTTTCTTAGAATGTGTATTTTGCTTTCATTTCAAACAAACCACATTCTATTAGGGCGTTTGCAATTTAATTTTTTGTTAATTCATTTTCGCCTTTATTAATTGATCTAATTTTTTAATTAATATTTATTATCAAATCGTAATATATTATAAAATGGACAATAATAAAAAAATAAGTCTGAGAAATACAAAAGTTAGTTATGTTAGGCTGCGTAATAGTTGAATTCGTTTATTAGAAACAAACACGTATATTTGTTTATTATTATGCTTCCTCAAAATTAATTAACATTTTACAAATGCTTTAAGCGTTCTTTAAACTGGCTTTCGTTAGTTTGTCCTCCTCTATAATTTGGCACCAATCATTTTGCTTTAAGATTTTGTGGCATGATTCCAGTAGTTTGTTGCCCTTGACCACTAATTCACGACACAGCACTGCTCTCAATCACTGTGTTTGTGAATTTTCATTTTAGTGTTGCATTTCTTAATTTCTGGTGATCTATATATTTATAGTTGCGCAATATTACAACTAAGAACATATAATATTTGGAAATGTTCTCAAAATCTAATAGGTGTTTTTCTAGTTCTAGTGAAACTAATAAGCGCTCGCATAGAGCTGGAGTAAATATCCAATGCTTGTATTAACTCCCACTGTACTGTATTAATTTTTCTTTTGTGCTGCAGTTTTTATGAATATAAGAATATTAAATTAAATAAGATTTTAAAGTTGGAATTTAATTTTGTAATTTAGAATGGAATAAAAATCTTCGTCAGATAATTTTATAATATATAGAGATTCAGAATAACACATGAAAACGCATGGAATATGTGTTTTAATCGTGTAAAGTTTAATCTAGAGTAATTTATCTTTAGAATCTTGCTAAAATTATTTTGTTGCCACCTTCATTTCAAATTTTAAGTAATATATTAAAATTATTGTTTGTACTTTCCTGAATGTGTTGTTAATCTATATATCTATATCTACACACACACACACACACACACACACACACATATATATATATATATATATATATATATATGATCTTATATTTACAACTAACATAGAATTTTTATGATACAATATTTTATTAAAGAACGTAATAACTTAATAGGATTTGTTTCAATTACGACTCTAGTATGGGAGCTCTCTTAAATTCGTAAAATCAATTACTGCTGTAGAAAATTTCTATTTTTCTTCATCAATTTGGATTACAATATTTATTTTAAATAAATGAAAAGTATATGCACATATAATATGACTTTTTTTTTGAGTTCCTATTTTTATTTTGAAACGACTTTTTAAGATTTCTATCTACTTTTATTTCGCCCTTTATTTTATCAATTAATTGCGTACTTTATTTGAAACACTTACAGAAGAATATTGATTATTTAAATAGGTATAAATGACTTCAAACAATGAAAAGAAAAAGAGTATATGTACAGAATTATCCCTTATTTTTACTCGTTCGAACACACACGAACTCATCCCACAACTGGTATAATTATCCAGATTTTAATAGACGAATAGGAACTACATATTATTAGCATTATGTATTCAGGAACATTAAAAAATTATTCAAAGAAGAGAGTTTCAGATTGAAATGAAGTTTAATACACATATTGTTGTAGATGAGAGATTCATTTATTCCCAAAATTTAAGCAAATAAAGTATGTACAATTAGAGAAATACAGTACCACTTCAATAGTGCGTGGACCCCCTCCAGCTGCATACATATTGCAACACGGTCTGTCATTGAGTTGATTAGGTGTCGGACATTGTCTTCAAGCAGATGGGACTATATATCTTGAGAAACTACTTCCAAATCATGAAATAGGAGAATTTGTCTTTTCAGCTAGTCAAACAAGTGCTCTATAGAAGACAAGTTTGGGTAGAGGGCAGGCCATGGAAGAATCTGCGCATGACATGGAAAGTTTTGAGCAAATCGAATTGTATGCGGACGAGCATTATCTTACTGAAAAATTTCCCCTTAAAGACAATTTAGAAAAGGTTCTATGAAAGTCGGAAACTATCACTAACATAATGTTGGCCAGTTAAGTTTCCACGTACTTTAATTAGATTGGACCGGTTATCAAAGGTTATGGCCCCTCAGACCATTATTCCTGCTGTCCGGGCAATGAGTCATATGGCAGCGTGATGGATTTGAATCAATCTCCAGGGCACTTCTGTATTTTTACGAGGTTTCCATCTGTCGCAAAATCGAACCGACATTTGTTACTAAAAACCACCTTTTGCCAATCTGTGGCATTCCACGTTGCTCTGACTTAGCACCAATGTAGGCTTGAGTCACTGATGATTCGGTGTTAAAGATAATACACGAATAGGGTGCTTTAAATGCAAATTCCTTTCCGCAAAGTATCTTGAAATAGTTTTTGGTAAAACTAGCCGCCTTACATCTGTATGTAAAATGGTGTGTCATTGTTTAACCCATAAGTGCTTGCTACACGATCCTCTCACCTCGTCATTTTTCTGGTCTTTTCAGACCCAGTTTCGGTGCGTAGGTCCAATGATCCCAAAATATTTTTGTGGCATACTCTGAACAATAGGCTTGTGGAGCAACACGGCACATTGATCAAACAACCAGTGATTTTCAAGCCAATGATCAGCCGCCTCTTAATTTTCTTAACTTTGTGAAATGTTTTCTCACACGTCTATATCTGGAATTGTTCGCTTACTTAAATCCTCCCAGAATCAAAATGCGATCGTTACAGTTAAGAAATTTCTACTACGCGTCCATTTATATAGGACCCAATTCCTGATTGCAGCGCCACTGCAGGGTGTATAAGTCATTCGCAATAACACCAAACTTAGATAATTAAGTATCTAGATCAAAAATAATTCACCAAAAGTAAAAATAAATTAAACTAATAAATGAACAAAAGCTAGTATTAACATGGTAAAAACATAAACTTAGTGAAACCATAAATCCAGGCTAAAGAAAGGCAACAAACTTAAAATAAGGACATTAAGCTCAAAATAAAAAAGACGGAAAAATAATAACAGTAGACGAAAATATAATAGAGTATTGGGAGCAGTGGACACTAGAGAAGGAAGTAAAGTAATTTAAATTGCTGTTACTGGTTTTATACAGAAATGTATAGACATACTAGTATTATGGATTTAACCCTACCATTGTTCACAATTAATTTATAAAAAAAAATGAGAATATGCCAAATACAAATAAGTGTCCGAAATCAAAATGTAATTAAAGAAGTAATAAAAAGGAATCTTTTTTTTTTCGCAAAGAAAAAAGATCCATTAAAATATTTAAAAAAAAATTAATCAATTATACACATTTTAGAAACACGAAACTTAAAACAGAATTATAAATCTTTTACATGCCTCAAACAAATGTTATGTACATAATATTACAAAAATTATCTCCCTTAAACGGGTGGTAGATTATCCAAATAGGTGGATAAGTTAGAATCATAATTTATTCACTACATATAGGAATTGACGAAGCGCAAGTAGCAGATTTCTATAGATTAGTACATCTTTGTGGAGCATGTATTGCGAGAAAACGGGCTGAGTTCATCCGTCATCCCTTGTACACACTAAATAAGTCATCTTGCTCGGACTATTTTTTACTGCCCGAGTTGAAACTGAAGTTAAAAAACTATTGAAACTAGAGAAAATAGTCGTAGAGGGAGCTTCTCGTCATTTATTGATTGGATTTATTAACGTCGCACAGTAAGCAAAACGAGGGATTGGCGATCGACCTCATACATTCGAACCTAGATCAAGTGACGAGGATGACACTACCTATGAGCTATTCAAGGCTCTGAAGATCAAAGCTCAAATGCGTTTCTGTCTTGCTCAGAGAATGATAAAGGTAGAATGTTGAGAAATTTAAATTAGGTAAAATTTGTTTATTGTAATCTTCGTTATTTGTGATGTGATATCATAAAATAAAATAAATGTATGCGTCCTCAAGTCTGTTTCATAAGTCATTTTTCAATATGGATTAATCAAGAATTGAAATAAGAAAAAAGTGCCTGTCTGACAGGTAAGCGAAAACTTTTTACTTGTTAATGATTTTGAATCATTCTAGTTTATACAAGGGTAGCGGTATGAGTCAATAGAGGAAACTAAAGCGGCGATGACATTGGAACTCACTAGAGTTACATTGAAGAAGTTACGGAACACGTAAACTAGTTCCAACTATACTGTTTAGAATTTTCTGGGAACTGTCACGATATAAGATATACTGTGGATTATATGGTCTATGTACTATAAATCCTATATTTTTTTAAATACATTGTGTGAAATGATACTACACACTCGAGGACTGATCTCACAGTGTATGCTTACAGTAGATATTTGACGTAATATCCATTTCGTATGCATAGCAAACAGTGAAGTCTATATAAAAATGCATTAGAACGTTTTTTGAGCTTCTTTTTCAGTTATATTTTTCGTTATATAACATTTCATCTGCACGTTTTTATAATGGAACAGTGCGTGTTTACTTGCTTCTTATTTATAAAAAGCCCGAATTCTGTAAAGACATTTTAATGCATTTCAAGAAAAGAAATAATACTTTATAATCCACTAGTGGCTACAAAAGGAGTTTTGTCTATTTTAAAAAGTAAAAAAAAGAAATTAAGTTCTATTACG